GCTTCAGTTAGCTGAAGGATAACTGTCTTGGAGTTGTTTCCCCTGATAACCACTTACATCGTGACAGGAGGATCCATTCATCCACAGAGAATGCTTAGTGGTCTAACTACAAGTTGTATTTAGAAGCAATTGCCAGGACCAGCACTGACATTTTCTGCTCCTATACAGGAAAGACTTACATTTAATTTGATGTAATTTGATAAAATTCTCAAAGACCTTACTCCAGGGAAACAAACCAAAGCTGATGGTCAGTCAAAAAGAACAGGAGGACTTGTGGCACCTTAGAGACTAACCAATTTATTTGAGCATGAGCTGTCGTGAGCTACAGCTCACTTCATCGGATGCATTCAGTGGAAAATACAGGGGGGAGATTTATATACACAGAGAACATGAAACAATGGGTGTTACCGTACACACTGTAACCAGAGTGATCAGTTAAGGTGAGCTATTACCAGCAAGAGAGTTGGGGGGGGAACCTTTTGTAGTGATAATCAAGGTGGGCCATTTCCAGCAGTTAACAAGAACCTCTGAGGAGGGGGGAGGTGGGAATAAACACGGGGAAATAGTTTTACTTTGTGTAATGACCCATCCACTCCCAGTCTTTATTCAACTTAATTGTATCCAGTTTGCAAATTAATTCCAATTCAGCAGTCTCTCATTGGAGTCTGTTTTTGAAGTTTTTTTGTTGAAGAATTGCAACTTTTAGGTCTGTAATTGAGTGACCAAACAGATTGAAGTGTTCTCCAACTGGTTTTTGAATGTTATAATTCTTGACGTCTGATTTGTGTCCATTTATTCTTTTACAGTCTCTAGTAGAGACTGTCCAGTATGGCCAACGTCCATGGCAGAGGGGCATTGCTGGCACATGATGGCATATATCACATTGGTAGATGTGCAGGTGAACGAGCCTCTGATAGTGTGGCTGATGTGATTAGGCCTGATGACGGTCAGTCAGAGGCCTTATAATTATTATTGCTTAATGACTCCCACGTTTGAAATTCCTCACGTCTTTGAAACCCCAGCCCACATGAACTCACCCCACCATACATCCTCAGTAGATATAACTGAGTTCCACGCAGTTTGCTGCATGTGAATTTTTCAAATAGTGCCCGCACAAAACTACAAGATCCCAGGCCACTTAGAAAGAAAAAGTAGAGATTTGTTCCCATGTCCTGGCCAAAATTTCCTCTCCCTTGGCTACTACACAGGGTGCTGTGTACTAGTTCTGTTTCTGGCTACTTCAGCAGTCTGATGTTTAGAGGCGCTGAGTATTCAGTTCCCATTTGAAGTCCATCATTTAGGCTACAGTCTAAAATGTGTTACAATTCTTCCTAATGAAAGAGTATTCTTCCAGATGTTCCCAAGTGAAGTATTATTGCCAGTAATAATCCTCAAGATTATTTATTATTATTTATCCTCTAAAGCTTCATTCCCTTTATTCAGCAGTATTATAAATTAAATTATCATAGGTATTGTCACTAAACAACAAAACCAAATGGCTAACAAACCCTATTAAGCCAGGATGGGTAAGGAATGGTGTCCCTAGCCTCTGTTTGTCAGAGGGTGGAGATGGATGGAGGAGAGAGATCACTTGATCATTACCTGTTAGGTTCACTCCCTCTGGGGCACCTGGCATTGGCCACTGTCGGCAGACAGGACACTGGGTTGGATGGACCTTTGGTCTGACCCAGTATGGCCGTTCTTATGTTCAAATGAAACAATGACTGTCCTTTTTAAGATGAAAAACTTCAAGACAATGTGGAAGTCATTTTTTAAAATTAAATACATCTTCATACAAGTCAGGCCTCCCACTGAATAAAATAATTTACATTCCTTAGAATTGTGTAGTGTACATTTATTGATAATCATAACAGAGCAGCATTTCCACTCTATAAACACAAAACAGGCATCTCATGGTATCAGGTGGGTTTCCTGACATTTACATTTAGAGCCTTAGGATTTTCACGTTCCTGGGTGTAAATCAATACTCTGGAATTGTGCAAACTTGAGACATGTGCAAGAAGCGCTGATGGAATGTGGAACTTGTAGGAGGGAGTAACAAACTTTTCTGAAGCTCTAGAATGTGCCCATCAGAGCAAAGTTTGGAAGGCATGAGATCCTTAAAGGAAAACAGTTTGAATCAGGATGCTACATTAGACATGATATAAATGTATAAGGAACACAAACCCTCATGCTTCAGGGCATAAAATAATCTTTAACTTCCTGGCATTAGGAAAAATCTTCATTTGGAGCATCAGGTACTGACCGCTGACAGGACACTGCACTAGATAAGCATTGGTCTGATCAGGAACGGCAATTCCTAGGCTTTTGATCAGGGTAAAAGTGTAAAGCTCCGACTGAACTCCAATTCTGCTCTGGGTTGCAAGGATGGAGGTCTCACTCACACGGTTTAATGATTATATTTAAAACGAATCTCTGCACAGATCATGTAGCTGTTTACAATTCATCCCCCCTGCCCCGCTGAGAGGCACAATACAAGAGCCTGAATAGACAACAACTGTAACCCTGGGCCACCTGACAACTTACCAGGCACACTTAATTAACACAAAGTGAAATAGATGGTTGCCACTCTTCTTTTCAATACAGTAGGTGGCCCAAGGCGACTGGATGCCTCAACAAACAACACTCCATCCTCCAGTCTCCGGGGGCTGCACCTCCACAGGGAAGATGAGTGTGGCAACGGGCTGATGATCACCTGTAGCCCAGCAAGGGCAGGAAGCAAATCACCTGCATGGGCAGATGTTAAAGTGAGGTTCAAGGGAGCAGAGACACATCAGAGGCTTGTTGTTTCTTCATTTTTCCGCCTGCTGCCACAACTCGGTAGCAGATTTGAAACAAGACACTTTGGCCAGAATCATCAGATTGTATTTTTGTTTTTTTTTTTAGTCTCCCCAAACACACTGTGAGTTTCCCCCACCTCCACTCCACCAAATACCCTTAAAGCCACAGTCCCTTTGAAACACACATTTATAAACAGAGAATGGGGATTGGGTGGGGGCAGAGTTAACCGGGTTTCTATTCAGTAAGTATCAGTGCTGCCTGAAGAAGTCTGCATGTCTCTCTGAGGCTATTCAAATGCAACTGTAAAGAATGTGGCACTTCCTTGTGAATGGGAATGTGGCACTTCCTTCATCCGCATACTACGCCCTATGCCATGACTTACAGTATGAAGTGTGAAAAGAAAAGGAGGACTTGTGGCACCTTAGAGACTAACCAATTGATTGGAGCATACGCTTTCCTGACCTACAGCTCATTTCATCGGATCCGATGAAGTGAGCTGTAGCTCACGAAAGCGTATGCTCCAATAAATTGGTCTCTAAGGTGCCAAGTCCTCCTTTTCTTTTTGCGAATACAGACGAACACGGCTGCTACTCTGAAACCTGTCAGTATGAAGTGTGGTGGAATGTTCCCGATCACCTTGCTTCAAAAAAGTCAGCAGGACGGGAGGTAAAGGCTCAAAATACAGGCAGCAAAGAACAGTCCCCCAAATTCTCACTATTCCTCTAATTTCTAAATCCACCATTCTGCTACCAAGAAAATAACCTCCCTGACAACAAACTCATGCCATAAATGGCTTGCAGTACAACGGCCCGGAACTGCCCCACTGATATACCAAATTCCCCCTGCCGGTGCTCACTTCAGGAATGCTGCTGCTACAGCGACTAAGGGCATGTCTACACTACGGGCGCAACAGGGGCACAGCTACAGCAGTAATGTCATACTGTGAATACGTTCTATAGTGATGGAAGGGATATTTCTGTCAATACATGTCATCTACCTTCCCAAGTGGCAATAACTAGGTCAGTGGAAGAATTCTTCTGTCCACACAGCTCTGGCTAAATGGAGGACTAGGTTGGCTTCACTGTGGTGCTCAGGGTTTGAATTTTTCAAGCCCCAGAGCACAATAGCTATGTTGATCTAACTCTTAAGTGTAGACGTGGCTTAAGAGCTAAATAAAAGGGGGCCATGTTTGTCACACAGATGGTGCAAAACACAGCAGGGAAAGTGGTTTTCTCAGCAGTGAAATGCAGGGAAATGTAAAAACAAACAACAGAAACTGACCAAGCAAACCAACAAAATGAATTAAGACTATCCATTCAGAGGTGAACAGCTGTTTTCAAAACAAGTGTAAATCCAGAAGCCCTCCATGCAGAATTTAAACATTATAGACACACTGTTTTTATTGTATATCTATATACACACACACATATATACACTCTCTCTCTCTAATGATAAAATTAGGCTGAAGCTATAACTTAAAGGTTTCAGAGTAACAGCCGTGTTAGTCTGTATTCGCAAAAAGAAAAGGAGTACTGTGGCACCTTAGAGACTAACCAATTTATTTGAGCATAAGCTTTCGTGAGCTACAGCTCACTTCATCGGATGCATACTGTGGAAAGTGTAGAAGATCTTTTTATATACACACAAATCATGAAAAAATACCTCCTCCCACCCCACTCTCCTGCTGGTAATAGCTTATCTAAAGTGACCACTCTCCTTACAATGTGTATGATAATCAAGGTGGGCCATTTCCAGCACAAATCCAGGGTTTAACAAGAACGTCTGAGGAGGAGGGGGCGGGTAGGAAAAAACAAGGGGAAATAGGTTACCTTGCATAATTGTTTTTTCCTACCCCCCCCCCAAAGGACGTTCTTGTTAAACCCTGGATTTGTGCTGGAAATGGCCCACCTTGATTATCATACACATTGTAAGGAGAGTGGTCACTTTAGATAAGCTATTACCAGCAGGAGAGTGGGTTTGCGTGTGAGGGGTGGGGTGGGGTGAGAAAACCTGGATTTGTGCTGGAAATGGCCCCACTTGATTATCATACACATTGTAAGGAGAGTGATCACTTTAGATAAGCTATTACCAGCAGGAAAGTGGGGTGGGAGGAGGTATTTTTTCATGCTTTGTGTGTATATAGAAAGATCTTCTACACTTTCCACAGTATGCATCCGATGAAGTGAGCTGTAGCTCACGAAAGCTTATGCTTAAATAAATTGGTTAGTCTCTAAGGTGCCACAAGTACTCCTTTTCTATAACTTAAAGTAGACTCACAGCCTTTTGACCCCAGAACGCTTTCCTCTTTTCATATGTGGAACTGCTGTATTAGCTTCCTGTAAACAAGAACACAGCTGGTTTAACTAAGCAATGAAGCACTCAAGCACGGTATTCTCCACTGTTCTGATTATGGATTTATCGTGGGCATGTTTTACCAACCAGCAGCCTTTCGAGAGCATGTGAAAGTGACTAACTTCCTTTAGGCATGAGGTGCAGAATTTATTGCATGCACGTTATCCTGTTCCCTCTTTTACTATCTGGCTACTTGTAACCCTTTATCAACAGCAATACTTACATTTATGAGACTGAAAAAGTTCTGCCTGCATGATTGACATTCCAACTTTTCCACAGAATAAAGGTACTTTATCAGCCTTTAATAGGAATGGCACTGCTGAGAATGTAGTTTAAACACACACACGGTTTCATTGCAAAAATGGATGGAAAATTGTCATATCTAGTCAATTACTTAGGTGGACTGAGGGTAGCACAAAAACAGTCTGATAAAGTCTGCAAATTATAGATTGACACTCCAACATGTCTAGTGGCTCAAAGTGGGGAAAACTCCATAAAGTCCTCACTTGTAAAGGCCCCTGTAAGAAAGAACTATTTCTCCCCTCCCCGGCTTGTTGATTTGGGCCCAATTCTGCAAGGTGCTCTGTGCCCTCAATTATCCTGACCCTTAGTTGGTGTAATTCAGAGTAACTCCACTGACGGTCATCGATTCCAAGCTAGAAGGGACCGCATTCTGACCTCCTGCGCAACACAGGCCTCAGGACTGTGAGTTACTTTCTGTTTGAACTACAGCATATCTGAGACACGCAAAGTGGGTGTGGTGATATCTTTTACTGGACTAACGTCTGCTGGTGAGAGACAAGCTTTTAAGCTTACACAGAATTAAGATTGAAACTTCTCTCTTTCACCAACAGGAGTAGATCCAAATAAAACGATATTAACTCATCCACCCTGTCTCTCCACTATCCTGGGACCAACACAGCTACAACAATACTGCAAACCATAGATCTTTTGAAAGACATCCAATCTTGATTTAAAAGTCGCCAGTGATGGAGAATCCACCACAACCCTGGGTAAGTTGTTCCAATGTTAACTGCCTCATTGTTAAAAATTCAAAGGCGTTACACTAGATTTCTGCACCAGCAAAGGATCGGGCCTGTTAAGTTTAATAAAATACAGAGTGCTCAACCCTTCACAAAAGCTGCTCGCATCTCACAGAAGCAGGCCCATTCTTTCTAAGGTCAACCCCAGCACTGCTGTATAATAAAAAAACGGAACTGAAAGGGAATTCTGGGTATCAGGAAATGCAAATGCACATACCTAGCACCCCATTTGTAACAAGTAGTCTTGATATTTTACATTGGAAAAAGATAATGCTTAAGAGGAAAAAGCAAAGCTAGCTAGACTGACACTTAACCCCATCAAACCTCCACAGAGCCACCCTTGGGATGTTAATATTCTGTCTGTCGCAGCCTTCTTAGGAATCAGCAGGAATTTTCACCTGATGGCATTTGCCTCTCCCAAGTAAAGATGGGGAGATCTGCATAAGGAGTTGGATCTCCCCCTCCCCGAGTTTTTTCTCTGGCATAAAGATTTTTAAAGAAAGTTTTAAAATGATAGAGGACAGAGGTCAAAGAGGACCCACAATCACTTTTGGTCCTATGCAGATATGGAACTATGTAAGAACGGCTGATTTCCTGATTACTTTACCCTTCCTGTGGACAAATTAAAATTACAAAGTGATCTGGTCTTTGTAAATTGCAATATTTCAAACCCATCAGTATTTGCCCAATTCCAAAATGAAGTCTAATGTCCAAGGGTTTGGGTTTGTTCCTCAGCCCCATTCGCAGTAAATCGGCACAGTTTCACTGTGCTCAATGGACTTAATGCCAATTTGCACCAATTAAGAACTGACCCTGACTATTTAATATCACCCTAGGCTGAAATTTGCCACCCAAGGTCTAAATCCAAGTGTAAAACTTTCTTTCCGTTCAGTATAAGCCATCAATGACAATTCAACCATTTCTTTCCTATGGGAAAGTGATGACATTTTTGTTTCAAAGGCAGTGGGCCATTTAAACCACCATCAGGTTCATTCTAATTTGCAAATGCTCTCAATTCAGTGTTGCTTTATCATGTCTAAGGTTTTCGACTTGCTTTCCTCACATGCAGTAATCCCAGCACAAAAGGCCTCAACTCCCCTCTCTCTCTCTCTCCCTGCACCCCGATGTTTGGTTTTGAAAAGTGAACATGTAAAAAAGTGAAAAAGCACTGGCTGTCCCATCCCTCTCCCCCAGTCAGCAGCCAGACTACAAAGGCAGATTGTGCAGGATTTGGAAGAGGGCTTCTTGTTTTTGTTTCCATCAGTGCTGACACCTGACGGGATATTACTGAAAAGCCAGTCCCGGTGGCTATTGCAGTGTTTCCTGATCGCTGCTACATTTAAAAGAATGAACAACAAAACAAATTTCTGCATCATAAATCACTGCTAGGATTAACTGCTCTAGTTCTTATTCAGTGATTGACCCACTCACCTTCCACTTTACATTTACTGAAGAACAGCTCAAGTCTATTTTGAGAAAACCGGTTCCTGCTAAGATTTCACAAGAAGATGTAACAGATCATTGTTCAAAGTCAGATGTAAGGAATGTCACAGAGGGTGACAAAGGGTCAAGGAAGGATACCCAGGTGCACTTTGGAGGGTTGTGTTAAGGAAGAATTGCTCGAGACTGGCTCAGGGACTCACAAGGAGAAAACAGTTCTTCATCCCGAGTGAGAAAGCGGATTATTCATTCAATGGGTTTTAAAAACAGGATGCATGCTCCGCAAGGGTCGGTGCCCTCAGGGAAGGCTGCTGAGCAGATCCCTACTGGAAAGCACTGCCACGCATTTGGGCAATGGTGAAATATTGCTTCAGTTGCCACCGGTCGCTCCTTTGCCCATTTTATATTCTTCAGCAGAATGGAGCAGGTCCACACGCACCTTCCCGGTGGAGGAGTCGGAACACTGCCTGCTGAGTACACACCAACTAATACCTGCAAAAGATTCCCCCCCATACCTCAGACTCACACTTCTCAAATAAGGTGGATGAACAGGGATCCTAGAAATCCATTTGCCACGGAAAAACGCACAATTGGCGTTTTTACAGAGAAGCTTCAGCTTTTACATTTTGTGAAAAAATAAAGACATACACTTTAGCGGAGCCTCCATTATCCAGCTGTCCATCATAACCAAACTGGAGCTGTCAGCCCCGGGCGGCAGAGCTTGGGCTTCAGCGGATCTGCCACCATTCCAGTTAGATCAGATAAATGGGGTTCCACTGTATAGAATACAGACATAGATGTATCTGGTATATGCAAGAAATACAAATTGCAATTCTATTCATTTTATTTTATTTTAAGGACTGATGGCACTGGTAGGCTTTGAACTCGCTTACAAATTGTAAATATACCAATAAAACATCGTGTTCAATTGATACCTATAGATATGGTGACTTGGGAAACGAAAGTTCTGTGTTTCATTTTCATCACCTAAAAAGGTGGATTTTTAATTTTTTTTTATAGGAGAATTTTGGGGTTTTCATCACAGAAGACTAGGATCCCTGTTGATCAAGCACCCAGCACACATCTCAGCGGGCCAAATTCAGAGCTCACTTACATGCATGTAAGTCCCATGAAGTGAACATGATTGCATGAGGTGTTAGTCAGCGCAGAACCAGACACATGGTCTTTCTTGGCTGCTGAAGTTTCCCTGTACGTAGATGTTCCATCCCCTCAGCTCATAAACCAAGGGCCAGTTTAAAAAGCAGGTCCAGAAATTGGTCTAGCGAACAACATGTAAACAGTACACTTCAGCCAGCTCATTACATCAGCCCTATGGACCTTCTCCCCAGGGCAGTCCCTAGGTGGAGTAGGGGGAAGGCACACATACACACACTATTTAATGCTATTCAGCAATGTCGCTTCAGGAATAGTTGGATTGCGTACATCTACCCAACCAGTCCTCGTCTGCTGCTGGAGCGGTGCTGCTACCCGAATCGTGATTCCTGAGAAGGTCTCTTGTTTTAACCAGGAGGGGACACATCCCATCAGATAATCCCTGAACCACGTGCAAGGCATATGCGGTGGAGTGTTGATAACCTCACTCTCCTCTGGGGCCGCTGCCAGTGAAGCTAGGAGTCTTGTTACAAGATGCTACCTGTGTCCTTAAAGGATAAGCCAGGTGGTTGCTGAAGAAAGGAACTGTTCTCACTTCCTAGAGGACTGGCTGCCTGCAGAACGGAAGTAAGAAAGGGAATGTCAGCTGAAAGTAGAACTGATTATCGGATGGTCTCTGCCTGTGGGGAACACCTGTTCAACCTGGACACCAGCACAAACAGCACAGCAAAAAATACACAAAGGAAACTTAAATCACAAATGTTACAACTTGAAAATGTGGGTTTAGTCTTGACAGGCATTTACACTTTATCTGAGCTTTCACCTATTTGCCAGATATTACTGTCACCACTTCTGGACAATGGGATGCTGTTTCAAGGGCTGGTGTTTCCACAGATAAAATAACCCTTTCCTCCTCTTCTTTTTGTATTACAGTACAGTAGTATCCAGTTGTCCCAGCCAAGATCAGGTGCAGCACATATACATAGTCAGAAAGCCCCAGTCCCAAGGAATTCACACTCAGAATAGCCAAGACAGACACAGTGGAAGAAAGGAAGGAAGGATTCTTCTCCTCATTTTACAGAGGTGGAGCTGAGAACAGATTCGGTGAAATAATTTACTCAGAGTGTCTGTGGCAGATCTGGGAACTGAGCACAGATCTTGAATCTCAATTCAGTGCCTTAACTGCAAGCCCATGTGCCCTCTCTGTACAAGCCTGTACAAGAAGGAAACTAGCAAAAACCCCAAAGCTGTTGGCTTTACTCTGAGGGGGCCTAGTTTTGCTTTATGTTATATATGTGCAGTGAAGTCCCAATGACTTCACTACTGATGCAGGACTCAAAATGAGGGTGGAATTTGGCCGAAGGTGTGTAGATACCCCCTTGCTACCTGTGCATACATAAGACAAAGTCCACGTGCCCTCAGTCACCCCAAAAAAGAAACCCATCTAGTCAAAGGGTATGTCTACACTAGGAACTCAGCTAGGGATAGGAGTCACAGCTTGTGCATCCACATGCTAAAAACAGTCGTGTAGCCAGAGTGGCACAGGCCAGCCCCCTCAAGTACGTAGCCACAGCAGGGGTCAGGAGGGTTTGTATTTGAAGCGGCTAGCCAATGCCACCACTTGCTGCTGTACGGGCTACCGTGGCTACACTGCTATCTTTAGTACACTTGCTCAGTGAGATTTTTAGTACACCGGCTCAGTGGGTAAGGAATGGTGTCCCTAGCCTCTGTTTGTCAGAGGGTGGAGATGGATGGCAGGAGAGAGATCACTTGATCATTACCTGTTAGGTTCACTCTCTCTGGGGCACCTGGCACTGGCCACTGTCAGTAGACAGGAGACTGGGCTGGATGGACCTTTGGTCTGACCCAGTATGGCCATTCTTATGTTCTTATGTTTCTCCATTAGCTGGGAATCACACCCCTAGCTCCTAGCGTAGACGGAGTCTAAACTGGATTTCTTGAAATGTGTTGCTGTTTTCCATAAAATACTAGTCATATCGTTAACAACAGGCTAGAGACTCCAGTCTATGGGATTACACTGGCTATATAAACCGTATCGGACAATCATCTTTCTCTCCTCATCATGACCAGTGCTTGGCGCTCATAAAATCTATATGTCACCAAAAACTTGCGACAGACAGACAAACAAATCAGCCTGACCCACAGGTGTCTGTTGGGGGGAACTATAGTCCCCCTGAGCATGCAAAAATGAACAGGCCTAGAGGTCTGAGCAGAGGACTGGGAAACAGGAACTCCCATGCCCTCATCACAGTTGCCAACTTTCACATGGTAAATAAGCACCCCGACTTTCACAATAAGCCAAAAATCAAGCTAATCCCATTTCAAAATAAGCCAATCCCCAAGAGCCGCAACACTCTATGTGACTAGATCCCCCGAGCGTGCAGTCTAGGACTGCGGTGCACCTGCTGTGCACCCCTGACTCTCTCCCCGCTCTTGCCCCTGCTTGCCCCCCCTTGCCTCTGCTTGCTGGGAGCCGATCAAAAAAAAAAAAGACGCAACAAGCTACAACAAGCAACAAGCTAAACAAGCAAACTACAAGCCAAAAACTAGCCAACAAACAACTCACAAGCCAATTAAGCCAAAATTTCTGTGGTTTTTTTTTCACAGGTTTAGCATGGCTGGCCCTTATCCTTGCTGACTCACACTGTGGGTTGGTTGCTCATTTAAGACCAGATTTTTAAAGTATTTAGGTGCTTCAGAAAATCCCAGCAGACACCTATCTGCCTCTTCAGACACGTTGGCCCTTAACCTATGTACCTCAATTTTCCCCTCTGTAAAATGGGGACAAATTTTGCGAATGCAAAATGCTGTACAAATGACAAACATATTGAAAGTAATGTTTATGGAAGACACCGGTCTAAAGCCCCTAGACTGCTTTGAAATCTCAGCCATTACTAACAAGATAATACAGTAAACAGTGAAGAGTCTCCTATTAATAGCAAATATGTGATCAGATGTATCCATTGTGCACATAATCTTAAGATGCACACCCAGGGCAGAATTAATAGATCTACGTCCCGGTGAAGTCTGAAAGTTCAAGTAGCCCAGGAGTCTGGGCTTGTGGATGCACATACCGAGCCTATAGAGAAACCCCAGTGACTTAAATCTCTGATCACATTCGGTTTTAATGTGATATTGATACAAGCTGCACTGTACACTGTTTCTTTGGATACGGGACTCCCTTCAAAGCCCTCACTGAGCACTTAGCACAAGACTGGGTGTAGAGAGCACGGATCAGGACCGATCTTTCATCAAACACATGCACCTAGGAGCATGAATTCACGCTCAGCTCCATGCTCCCTGGAGAAACTGGACATGTGGACAGCATTTCCTTTTGTGTGTGCATGCTGCACTTTTGCCTTTTTCAGCAGCGCTTCCCTTTAAACAGACAGTGAAACAGGAACCAGGGAAGGATTCTTGGCTATTAACACCATTATCGATCCAGTCAGGACAGTGCTCGTATTACAGGAAACAGCAAGCACTGATGTCAAAGCTAAAGAGAGGGTGTATGCAGCAGGAATACAATGGGGTCAAGCTAACAGACCTGGCAGCATGATCTAGGGAGGGATGAACATGGGACTCCTCTCCAGAAACGTACTCAGTTCTAATCCTGGCTCTGACTGACTCACTATGTAGAGTCCCAGCTCTGCCACCGATTTGCTATGTAACCACAGCCAAGTCACTTCACCTCTGGGCCTCAGTTTCCTCTTCTGTAAAATGCGGTTAATGATACTTATGTACCTGATAGTGGGTGAGGCTTAGGGGCATTGTGAAGCTAATTAATGCTTGTAAAGCACTCCAAGATCTTCAGATAAACTGCTACAAAAATGCAAATTCCGATGATGATTATGACACGCTTGTAATAAGTACACAGCTAGCAGGTGCTTTCATATTTATTCATGCTGGCTCCAAAAATAATTGCCTGCATATAGTTGAGTTTTGGAAAAAATGTCTAAAAACGTCAGGCCTTGTCTTCATTGCAAAAGACAGATGTGTTCCTGAGTTAAAATCCTAACAAGGACAAGGCAGTTTGTAGTTTTCACATGAGTTAGCAGGTGGAGAGACAGAGAAGGATCCCCCATCTTCAACTCAACCTGCGGACTCGTATGAAAATCACAAAGTGCCTTGTCCTCACTAGGATGTTAACTCGAGTCAAGAACACACCTTTTCGCCGAGTGAAGAGACGGCCCTTGGACTCCTTTACAGCTGCTGACAGGCCCTGACTGCTGTGTGAGTATTGGGGACGTCAGCTGAGGCACTTACAAATTGAGAAGTCAGAAGGGCTAAGAATATTATAACAGGCTGGAAGCATCTTTCACTTCCACCTTCTTGGCCATCACACCCCTTTTCTAGCTCTCCTTCTCTCTTCCAGAGCCTGGGCAAGCGACACCAGCTTAGACTTCGTTAGGCTCACCCTTGGTAGGCCAAATTCAACAATGATTCACAGATTATAAAGCCGGAAGTGATCATTTAGCTGGCCTCGCAAGTTACACATAAAGTGGGTGCGAGCCACAGGAAGTCTAAAGGATTAGACCGAAAGTCTAATTTGGGGGCTGGAAGAAGGTTTAAGTGTCACTAACTTAGATTCACCTCTGAAATTGGGCCACCTTCTATACCAAAAGCAGGAAGGATGTTGGATCTAAATGCTGACACGAGAGTCTAGAATTATGAGAAAAGGAGTACTTGTGGCACCTTAGAGACTAAAAGGTGCCACAAGTCCTCCTTTTCTTTTTGCGAATACAGACTAACACGACTGCTACTCTAAAACCTAGAATTATGAGCAGTGTGTTCAGCAGGATAGAATTTTATGTGTGCGTATCCAGCAGTGGATAACTACATAGTCATACAACAACATTTACAGCACAGAACACCATTCATGGAGACTGCTGTAAAGCTTCCTTCTTTCCTCCCTTAACACAGACAACTTGAAGAGTGAAAGTTTTTCACTTACTCTGCCTGCTTCTTGTAGATGATCCCGAAGAGCTAGGCCGGCTTGTTTGCTGCGGTCCAGACTGTGAGAACTGTGGTGCAATGGTTGGGATCTTTCCCTTTCGAGGGCTGGGACTCTGCACTTCGGGAGTGCGGGGGACCCTACGTTTGCCAGTGAAGGCAGAGGAAAACTCGCTGCTGGAAGAGAGATGGAAAGAGTTAGAATGTTCATGTTCATGGTTTTACATCAAGGGACAAAACAGGCTGCAGAACATGGGGGAAATCTAACAGCCATTTGGACACCTACAATCAACCAAATCCCATTGCACATCCTCACCAACACAGTGTTACACACACTGGCCAAAGTCTAGGGAGGTCACGGATGGAAATGAACATTGTACTCCCTCAACTGTACCTTACAAAACACACACCTCATTAAGGACCCACATTCCCTTCTGTTTCAGAGTAGCAGCCGTGTTAGTCTGTATTCGCAAAAAGAAAAGGAGTACTTGTGGCACCTTAGAGACTAACCAATTTATTTGAGCATAAGCTTTCGTGAGCTTCTTTGGATCTTACAGTCTCCACTGTAAGAGCATAAGAATGGCCATACTGGGTCAGACCAAAGGTCCATCCAGCCCAGTATCCTGTCATCCGACAGTGGCTAATACCAGGTTCCCCAGAGGGAGTGAACCTAACAGGTAATGATCAGGTGATCTCTCTCCTGCCATCCATCTCCACCCTCTGACAAACAGAGGCTAGGGACATCATTCCTTACCCATCCTGGCTAACCGTCATTAATGGACTTAACCTCCATGAATTTATGTAGTTCTCTTTTAAACCCTGTTATAGTCCTAGCCTTCCTAACCTCCTCAGGCAAGGAGTTCCACAGGTTGACTGTGCGTTGAGTGAAGAAGAACTTCCTTTTATTTGTTTTAAACCTGCTGCCCAATAATTTCATTTGGTGACCCCTAGTTCTTATATTATGGGAAGAAGTAAATAACTTTTCCTTATTCACTTTCTCCAAACCACTCATGATTTTATATACCTCTGTCAAAAAGAAAAGGAGTACTTGTGAACCTTAGAGATTAACAAATTTATCGTAGCTCACGAAAGCTTATGCTCAAATAAATTGGTTAGTCTCTAAGGTGCCACAAGTCCTCCTTTTCTTTTTGCAAATACAGACTAATACGGCTGCTACTCTGTAACTAGTGTTGGTGGACACTCTGGAGGCACCTGGCCAGTGACCCAAGCGTTGATCCATGGAGTATTCTTGCTTTTGGATCTATATTCAGTTATTACTCTAGCCAGCCATACCTTTCCTAACCAGAAAAGACCAAACTGAAACAATTTCAGCATGAAAAGGACAATCACCTTTAGGAGGAAATAAAATTAGAGTCAAGAGAAGAGACCCAAAAAGTGCCAACCAGCAATAGGTAATTAAAGTGGTAGCCAGAGGGCCTCTTTTGCTTCATCAAAAGAAGTCATTGTGACTGGTAGGAAGAGTGATTAGGAGGATTTGAAGACATCTAATCTTCTACTCTGGATGGAATGCTGCTGGGTTGGCAATGATTAACTGCTGCTTCACCTTTTGCACAGCTACCTTAGCAAACATTTCTTTTATTTTTTAAATTACATTAATTGTCCAGGATTTTGCTTTTGGAAACACTAGCTGTAAGTGACACAGACTTGTGTTAAAAGTCTGCTCTGAACCATCTTTATAGCAAGATCTCTCTCAGGTAGTTGTTTACTTGCCTCTCTTTTATTATTCTTCCTTATCATTTCAAAAGATCATGCAGATGATATCCAGTGTAGGGAAAAGGCATTTACAAAAGAGGAATCCGACTGGCCAAAACAAAATTCCAAGCCATGGTACTATTACAAAAGATCACAGGGATTTAGAACCAACAAAAGCGATTTAAATGTTTCTGTCCACAAAATAGTTTCACTGTCATCTGCTGTTTGCAATTTTTATCACTTGGTTTCAACTTCTTTAGTTTTTGATATTCTAGTGATGTGCTTCTTACAGTTCTCAGATGTAGATAAAATGCTAATGACTACCAAAAACAATCCTTAAACAAGCTTTGCACCATTTGAGCAGAAAGTGAGCTTTCCTATTCCTCAGTCCCACATACTTAACAACAACAATCTGGATCTAAAATTCTGCATGTTAAAAAGCCATTGCATGGCTAGTAAGGATCTCCCTGAAGATTAGCTATAGAAGCCTAAATAGCTATACTGTAAAAAGCATACTTAGAGACAAAGTAAAACAGAGCAATCAGAATTCAAGTCTTTGCAAAAGCACAAGTGCAGGAGGACAGGGAATAAACATGAAGTGAGCATAGTACCTAAGGTACAAAATCTCCCATGTTGAAGGTGAAATACATGGAGCATACGGCAAGTGTTGATAGTAGACCCCTAGGTGCCCAATTGTACCTCAGCCATGTATCAAATATCAAATATCCAAAACACAATGAAAACAGAATTGGCCAAAGATCTCCCGTTGTCTAACATAGCAACCGGCTGCTGTGTGTAAAATAATTAGAAAAGGAGTACTTGTGGCACCTTAGAGACTAACCAATTTATTTGAGCATGAGCTTTCGTGAGCTACATGCTCACGAAAGCTCATGCTCAAATAAATTGGTTAGTCTCTAAGGTGCCACAAGTACTCCTTTTCTTTTTGCGAATACAGACTAACACGGCTGTTACTCTGAAACCTCTCAAAATAATTAGAGTTTAACTAGAGAGGTGCTGGAGACAAATATGTCATGGGAAAATATTCAGCAGTGCCGCCTCTTTTGTCCTATAACTCCAGAGTTGTTAACTGGCCTCTTCACCTTGAACAGTCTCTTACAATGTGTGTTAACTACTTATGCTAAACAATTTGTTCCACCTTGTATTTAGCTGCGACACCCACCCTGAGTGCCTTTTCCAGACCTCATGGAAGAGCTCTGTGTGAGCTAGAAAGCTTGTCTCTTTCACTAACAGAAATTGGTCCAATAAAAGATATTACCTCGCCCACCTCGTCTCCAATAGGAGGAGTTATTTATGACAACATGCTGCCATGCCCAGAGAGTGTTCATCACCCTTAGCATTACATCAAAACTTAAATCTTTATTTAGAAGAAACAAAACCATTTGCTTTCCCAGTAACAGGTGGCCTGAAGCCAGAGACATAACTGGAGAAGAAAGACTGCATAATACACTTAATGGTCAACCAAGTGATGTGATAGGGTTTGAATGCAGAAGATTAATTAGGACCTTGTTTTCATAGATTCATAGATATTAAGGTCAGAAGGGACCATTATGATCATCTAGTCTGACCTCCTGCACAATACAGGCCACAGAATCTCACCCACCCACTGTCAACATCCGTGAAAGCTGCTCCCTAGATCACTTTCCAAAAAGAAAAAGGAACTCAACTGACATCCAGAGAGGAAGTGCACCTAGCTGTTCTTGTCCAATCTAAGATATTACCTCACCCACCTTGTCTCGCTAATATTCTGGGACCAACATGTCTACAACAATATTGCATATAAGTCTGCCATAGACACATATACCCTGAATATAGCACTCCCGAGGAACTACAGTTGAATTTTTAGATAATTTCACTAGATAGTTAAAAACATGACATTAGGGAGGTATCCAAACTTTCTCTCTTTTCTGCAGGTGCTGAATGAAGCGCCTGAGATATTAAAATACTACTGCACTTGCTCTTAACCAAATATAAATATCACTTCAGCCAGTCAAAAGCCAGCTTATTTACAAGTGTTCAGTATACTACTCAATAAAGACAGGCTTTATTATACATCAATTAGTTTTTGATTGGCTAAAACCACAACAGGCCTGTACTCGGCCAATCAGAATGCTGCAGATCAATAAAAGTACAATGGGCAATTGTCACTCCATCATTTACTAGCTAAAATGATAATTTGTTGCAGCGGAAATAAAGTCATTGCAATATGAACTGTCAGAGTCAGTGGGACTCATTCGTTTCTCAGTTTGGTTTAATACCAGTGTAAATTCAGTGACTTCAATGGAGTTATTCCAGATTTACATTGCTGTGAGCAAGAGAGGGATCAGGCCCAGGGTCCCTGGCATTGAACCAAAACAATTCTGCTTCACCTCAGTACATACTTTCCATATGCGCAGCAGGGAGAAGATTGCTTACAGTGGGCAAAACTAAGGTGGAAGCAACAGTCCATTCGCTCTGTTGTTCATTGTCGGAACTAGTTCATTTAAGTATTTATCCAACAGAGGAAATGAGACATTGGAACAAAAGGCACGCTTGGCTACTGTAGAAGCACCATATTGACTTAGCACCTCTGATGCAGAAAATCCAGTACATTGTTTGCTTTGCAAATGGCTACATTCCAATAGAATACCTTTAGAACAGAGAAAACCTTTTGTAGTTGTAAACACCCATTTTTTCATGCTTTGTGTGTATAAAAAGATCTTCTACACTTTCCACAGTATGCATCCGATGAAGTGAGCTGTAGCTCACGAAAGCTTATGCTCAAATAAATTGGTTAGTCTCTAAGGTGCCACAAGTACTCCTTTTCTTTTTGTGAATACAGACTAACACGGCTGCTACTCTGAAACCATTCCAATATCCATAACTTTAGGCAGCTTTTGTACATTCAAATCACTGCAAACATGGGGAAAAAAGAAAAATCGCCTCCTGGGTGAGATTTCACTTTCCTATCTCCATGTAGAGACTCCTCTGAAACAAGAGCGGTACATCAGTGAAGAGAGGAATACCCTAGTATTACAGATCATAAGCCACTATACGGAGCTGGAGAGTTATTTCTGGTGACTCAGTAGACCAGGTGAGCCCTATTAGCTTCAACCCAAGAGGATAAAAAGGGGCCAGGTATCCCATAGAGGCAAAGGAAGCTCAGGAAGAGGTTTGCTTTTTTTTTTCCTGGTTATTTATCAGTAAATGCAAATCCCAGGAAGGGGTTAAGTTTGGACATTAACACAGACCGTGCGCACGTGTGTGCGTGTACACATTGTGCTGAGAATGGGGTGGGGATGCTGCCAGTTCACAACTAGCTGCACTCCAGAGTGACTGAGAAACAGCCAGCTCTGTCTGACACAGGGGAGGAAACAAGGATCCTCTCACATACTTCTGACCTACTGTTCGTGTTTGTAATGTTTGCTTAGTTACCATGGAGATGGGCAATTCAGAAATAATAATTTTATTAAGATAATGTTGAAATAAAAAGAAAACGGTACAGAGTTTAAGCACAGAAGTTTCTGGTTATCAGGGAATAAGGTACAGATTATCAAAGGGTGCGGAATTCGGTTTAGGAATGGGTGGCGTAAGGGATACATAATCTGCAATCTCCCCGATTGGGCGTAAAAGTTTAACCAGTCAAAGTACAGACATTGAGATATGGGGGTATGTTGTCCATATAATGGCTATGTTCAGGTGTGGAGTATAATGAGTGGATACGATGATGGGGATGGATCTACCCTCATTTGGTGGGATTTAATGTTCAGTGAGTTTATGGTTCCAGTTCATATGGTCCAATGGAAAAAGTCTCTCAGTCCCTTTCCCATAGTGGATGCACGATGTCGTACCGGCTCACACCTCCTGATACTGTCGGTGGCCGGTGATCTGTTCGATGTAGATGTCCCTGGACCATCGGATGGTGTCCGAGACCAGCAGGCGCCGCATGAGCCTATAAATAATGCTGCTGCTGGACCACTACACGTCCCAGAAGTGCTAACTTGTTGGCAACACATAATTTCTCATCTCGCAGCAGGGGGACAGTGCAATTGAGAAACTGGAAACAATAGGGAGATGTATGCAACAGAGAAACAGAAATCTCTAGCCATGGAGCCCAATTCCCAGAAGGGTGAATACCTGCAGCTTCAACTGAGGTCCACGGGACCTGAAGGTCATCAGAACCTCTGAAAGTTGGGTCCCGATAGGCTTGGTATATCTTCTCCCCAACACATCCACACCCGGCCCCATTAAATTAGGCTTGAATAAAGACTGGGAGTGGATGTGTCATTACACAAAATAAAACTATTTCCCCATGTTTATTTCCGCATCCCCTCCCCCACCATTCCTCACACATTCTTGTCAACTGCTGGAAATGGCCCACCTTGATCATCACTACAAAAGGGTTTGTTTTTGTTTTTGTTTTATTTCCTCTCCTGCTGATAATAGCTCACCTTACCACTCTCATTACAGCGTGTATCGTAACACCCATTGTTTCATGTTCTCTGTGTATATAAAATCTCCCCACTGTATTTTCCACTGCATGCATCCGATGAAGTGATCTGTAGCTCACAAAAGCTTATGCTCAAATAAATTTGTTAGTCTCTAAAGTGCCACAAGTCCTCCTTTTCTTTTTGCGGATACAGACTAACACTGCTGCTACTCTGAAACCTATCCTCATCCACTCCATAGTCTCTTTTGTTTCTGAGTCACTGCTTCAAATCCGCCCCAAGTCAGACATCAGCAAAAGTTGTTGCCACCCAATGGTTATTTGAGGGAATCTGAAAAAAGAGAGTGGGTCTCGGGGTCCAGTTCCTAGTAGACAAGGATCCTCAACCAACAAAACAGCATCACAATTGCAGTTCCATGACAAACCCTTGTGGGGAGGCCAAGCAGTAGTGATCCCTTCGGGTTAGGGATGGAGCACACCGATGGAAGAACTTGTCCTGCTGCTGTCTTTGGCTATCCCTCAATGCGAGGATGGTGTCTGCCAAGGGGGTTCATTGGTGCGTTTTTAAGTGGCTGAGGAGCCCAATTCATGCCCTACAGATTTTGCCACAGAAGTTCTCCATGGATAACTCAAGGACTTGATCCCTGTCATGCTCCCAATGGCTCTGGCTCCTGATCTATGTAATAAATGTTTTTTTTCTGCACAGTAAGTCATCTAAGGAAGCGATCAGGATTTTTTTTTGCAGCTGACAGTCTTGAGGCTTATGTATGATGTTCACTAATGAAATCTGTTTGCTTTAGATTTCTTCTGTTCTGGCCCAGATTTTTAAAAATTGAATAGCTGCCACTGGCAGAGCTAAGAGTATTTTGTTTGGCAAGCATCATCACAGCTATGTCACACCACACTACATCATACATCAATTGGCTTCACAGTAGTATGGAATTAGCTGGTAACCACCTGGACTACTTCCCCGTTTCCTGATATTCAGCACTTTAAAAATCATACCTGTCTGATTGCCCATTAATTTTGTCCTGGACAAAATCAGTGGATCGGGCACACAGGACTTCAGTAACTTCTGAGACGTGTTGATCCGTTCTGAGACCCACTGAGAACACCTGGGATGAGTCTGTTTCAATTGCTGTTTGAAAAGAGGTAACGTTTCAAGGCAGAGATGTCACTTTACAAATTACAAGTAAACGCTGTTAGTCTGTTTGAGTCCCCCTCACATATTATGAACCAGGCCAATGGGAAGTCACTGGTGACAAGGAGCAGCCACTCAAAGACCCCACTGTCAGTATCATGTTATGACATTTGCTCATGAGATCAGATTGCCCACCCGCTGCCTAGCACTAGTGTAGAATGTATAAATCAGACTTGTGCATGAAAGGATAAGTCTGCTTTCTGAAAGGGGCACCGGGGACTAAGACACGCGAATCCAACTGGAGTGAGCAGACACTGGTGGCTAAGTTCCCTCACTTAAAAAACATGCCCCTGAAGCATTTCCATTTGGTGCTCTCATAAAAGTGGACTGCTCTCATGTGCTGAAACACGGACACAGACTGGGACACTTTCAGACAAGCACCAGACCAGCTGGAAAGAGCTTTCTATTACTGTCTCATGTTCTGTGAAAGAAGTGCAATGATCAGACCTGGAGAGATCACAGGGTCTTCGCTTGAAGGTTGCAAACAGGTGTCAGAGGGTCCTGGCCACCCTGTCCTTACCATATTGCTAAATGGAAGGGTGGTGGTCCGAGCTAGATCCTAATTAGATAGGAGTGGGATTCCCAGGTGGGTGAAGGTCCAGGTATGGAAGAGCATGAGAGGCTGCTTTAGGTTAAGAAAGTGGTCAAAGGTTTGTTGGGGCAAGGGCAGGCACTTCCTTGTGACTCTGATTTGAGAAGCTGGATTACATTGATCCAACTATTCATCTGAAGCTTTTGTCTCACCCAGCCCTTCACTCCTGGTCAATCCCTGATCATTTTAGAACTCCATTGCATCAAACCCAATGACACCCCCAACTCTGGGCTGTTCAAAATGAAGCTGGAAAATGACCAAAACTAACATGATTAGGTTTCCAGTACACCAAGGGCAAAACTTAACTAACTAAATGCCCTACTGCAGAACAATATTATTGGGTGACAACAAAGCTTCTAGAGGGAGCACAATTTTTATCACACACACATGGAAAAGTGTTACAGGGGAAGGGACAGAAGTGTTTTGTACACTAAGATTTGTAGGTTGTTGTTTCATGTGATTATTCTACATTCTGAATCCCAAAGATCAGGGGAGAAATGGATGAGCAATCATTTATTTTGCAAGATCTGACACCTCAGGCAAACCACTGGCAACCCTTATCACAACAATATTGGACTAGTTGCATGACTATTAAAAAGAACCATGTCTTGGCTACACAAAAAGGAATTACTTTGCCCGCAAAAGTATATTATACTTATAATATATGTGCATAGATATATGTGTAACACGTTCCCATTTAGTGACCTCCCCTCCTACAAAAAGAGATGCTGCATCTCATGTAGTCCTCTTGATAAGCCCTATATTAAATACAGTCACATACACAATCTGGATAGAACCTACTCGTAGATTTTGGCTTAGATGAGACACAGTACCGAGGCGATACTTATCTGTGATGATTAAAGCGTTAACAGCACTTTTTCCAAGGGTAGGGGCATTAATTCCATTATCCTTATCAAATTAAAACAATAGCATTTACATTCTGCTCTTCCCTAAATTTCCTGTTGTTTACCATGTCCCTGTTAAACTGCTGTATAGCATCACTGGCAAGGAATGGCTGCTGCATTTCCACGCCAGAGGTGGCTGCATTTCAGGGGTGAGATAATATCTAAACACACAGTTTATAAGACGCTCTGGGCTCCTTCGGACTGAACTGTCCCTTAGAAATAGATGGATTATTTCTCAGAAACTGTATCCAACAGAGGGTTTCATCCTACCAGACATTTAAAATCAGAAAACAGCAGCACTTTCGATGTCTGATTTGCTTAATCTCCTTTACGAAGTTTGAATATTTAAAAGATTGGTTTTTCCTCAATATAGGAAAACTGCAGAGTCAGCAGGTTTCCTATTAGCTTATAACGTCTGATGTTCTGAGCCACTGTTTCTGGCCAGCTGATCTCTTCAGAATGTTTTTGTTCTGTTCCTATGTGCTATTGTGAAATCTGAGGCTTGAAGACCCTGCCTCTTATTATGGCAGAATATACGGAGTGATCAAATGCTTGCCTTGAGCTGGAACTTCATCTGCTCCTATTGTACCCCTTGCCTTGGGTTAAGCCTATTATATCAGCTCCACACATTATGCAAGCAGATTCTTGTCTGTGAAACCTAGGTTACTCTTCTCAAAATCCCTTTCATTTCCTTTTGGAAATTTAAAAAAATATGCCATTTCTTTACTGATTCAAAGCATATTTTTTTAGCGAAGCAAAGACATCTTAGTCTTTGACTTCCTAAATAATTCTGCACTGCCAGCTGCAAGACACTTTAACTGAGATCCCAGCACATTTTGCTGTTAATCCTTAATTTACACTCTTGAATTTACCCCTGCAAATAGGCTGGTACCCCACTACCTTGGTCAGTAAGCTGCGTGCCCTTCCCCTTCTCAAAGGCAGGCCCGGATGAGTTTGTGCTAGCTTCCATTCAAGTTGCAAGGAAAGAATCTCTAGTAGTGCCTTCCATGCTGTTGTTCTCTACACCAGGGCCCCTGAAATGCTGCCCAGCTGAGGGCGGCTCTGGCAACTTGCTAGGGACCTAAGGGCCACAGATAATTTAAATAATATGGAACAGACATACAGGTGTACCCACAAGGGAGGAGATGAGGGGGATATGCTGCCCTCTGCCCTTCCAAACTATTTTACTATCCTGTTTATGTCCCTCCCACTCTGCAGCTATAAACTTAATGGGTTCCCATCCTCAACCACATTTTATCATTTCAGAGTAGCTGTGAAGGTGACTGCAGCTGCCTTCCATTAGAGAGGAGACGACAGATCCCAGCAACAATTCATTTAGGCCCAAGCAAAGAGCTTATTTGAGGACAATAATAATTGCCTGCTGGAAACTGTAGACTCTGTGGATGGCAGTTCCATTTGATTCAAGATGGAGCATGGCTTTCTGGGACCTGTAGTCTGTAGAGCACAGCTTTATCCAGCTCAAGATGCCACAATGCATACTGCGTTTTTGGGCCCCATCTCTTTGGGTTGCAGCTCCGCTTGGATCAAGATGGAGCACTGAATGCTAGGGGCTTGTAGTCTGCTCCCGCATACCAAAGAATAAGTCAGCGGCAGACCATATTTTAGAACTCCACAGCCCAACCACAAGGCATCCCCTTCTCCAAATGCCTGACCCAGTTAAGGAACAATTAACAGCAGCATTCTCAGAATATCCTTACATGCAGAGGAAATGTAAAAGTCAGAAGTGCTGGACCTGCTACCGCTCCGAGTGGGAGGACGACAGTTCTGCATAGACTGGAATTTGCCATCCCTGCCATGTGAAGAAATGGCATCATTTTCTGGCCTGGAGGAGAAATGAGAATGCAGGGTGATAAATACTTACAGCCTAAAAAAGCTGCATGAGAATTACCATATAATTTCCTGGAAAGGTACAGAAGAAACAGAAAAGTGTATTTTATGTTGCAAGCTAGTGCCAGGGGCACAACTTAGTAGCATTTTGACTGTACAACTCTACCAGGTTCCCCACATTAAGCTTTTTCAGGAGCGTAAAATTTGTTTCTGAATATTATGGGGGTTCCACATGATGCAAGATCAAAACAAAACACAGTATTTTAACTTAACAGCTGTAGAACTAGTTCTCTTAACTTCTTGGATAGGGCTGGTTGTCAGGAGGCAAGACTTGCTGAAAGAGAGAAGAGAGGATAAGATTGCTTGGTAATTCAGATGGGGTGAGAGGAAGCAGTGAGGGTGTCTTACGTGGACAAAGCAGGGGGCTGGGAGGAAAGTTACCCTGAGCTGAGAGTTTCGTTGAATATTCATGGCAAGATCAGGCTAAGAAACATCTAGTTAGAAAAGGGCCTTTCCAAGGAGGTGGTTAATAATTAGACCACTAAATCAGTTTCTAAGGGAACAGACAGAGGAATATTAAACAGTTTGTCCCTCCTGAGTGATCTCATAAAGTAGGAGGTCTTTAAAAAGAGCTCTCCAGTATTTCCTGGCTAGAGCATCCCCTTACAGTGTAGACTGAGGGCTTGCCTACGTGGGGACAATCAGGAAAATTAATCCAAATTAACTAAACACTTAAAATTAAGGACGATTGGTTAAACTGTATTAAGTCCCTATAAGTACATTCTCTTTCAGAATTAAAGTGGTCTTAATTTGGTTTAGTTTAATTCACTTCCAAAGGCCACTTTAATTCTGAATGGGAGGGTCCATATAAGCGTTCAATGCAGTTTAACTAATCCACTTTTAATTCACACCTTTAGTTAATTGGAGGTAATTTTCCTGAGTGCCCCCCGCTCCCAGCCAAGCTGTAAACTGAATGAAGGCCACACTAATTCTGAATAAGAGTGTCCAATTTTAATGCCATTTAATCCACTTTAAATTTATACTTTTAGTTAATTTTAATTAATTGTCCTGAGTTTTCCCATGTAGAAAAGCATCAAGGGGTAAAACTTGTCATATTCCACAGCAGTTTGATACAATGCAGTCACTAGTTTACTTAAGTGATTTATAAACAAATAAATATAGCTCAAGCCTTTCTCTTCATGTCTGGACTGCTAGGATGTGATCTGTGAGCAAAGCAATATAACTGAAGGGCATCCTATTAGTTCTTATCCACTAGTAATCAATTTCATTTGCTAAAATAAGCTAGCTGGGTATAAACTCCATTAGATCTTGCCCTTTTCTTCTGTAAATCCACTTTTCTGGTTATTGTCTTTCTACTCTAGTTGTTTTCTTGCACAGGGAAGTTAGCTATAGAGGGTTTCACTGTCAAATGCAAACCTCTCATGCATGCTATTAACGCCTGCTTTCCTATTTAACTTGGTTGGCGCTTAATAGTGTTCACACTGGTTTTACCATCTGACTAAAATAGTGAAATTTAAAGTTCACAGTTTTTAAACCAGCAAAAACCTACAGAAATTATTTGCAGTTTTGCAACATGGGGCAAAGAAACAATCTGCAGAGGCTGCTTTGCATCCTCATTATTCCAGTGCAGGAATAGGTCCCTCAACTATCGTAGCTGCCTGTACTCAGTGGGTTTCTGAGCAATCAGTCATTTAGTTACATTGTGAGACAGGAGCAGGCTGCAAGGCACAATTCACACTGTGTCACAGTCAGCCCATGGCGTGGAATCAATATCAGGTAGAGAAGCCTGGGAAGCCTTGATGAAATCTTTAGAAAGGAATCAGTTCTGGGGTATTACTTTTGTAACGGACATGAGTTATTTAACCTCATCTAGGGAACAGCTGTGGCCTCGAGAGGAGTGCAGTGGAATGGAGTCAGGAGACCTCAGGTCTATTCCCAGCTCTGCCACTGATTTGTTGCATGGCCTTGGGGCAAGTCATTTCACTTTTACATGTTTCATCTTTCCCATCTATAAAATGGGATAGTGAGGGTCAGCCACCTTTGTGGCATTTGAGAGCTACAGTTGAAAAGCACTAAATAAGCATTACATTACAATGACTGTAGACTCCACAGAATGAATCCAGGTTTTCTAGCTTCCTGCGGGTAGCAGAAATTACAGGGGAAGGGGAAACCTTGAAGGCATTTGATGGTGTTGGCCAGTAGCAAAGTGGCTTTGGTCTGATGTTCAGCAACATGTTCGATAGATTCCATCATTTGGGTCTGTAGCTCTTTTGGGGAAGTGCAAGGAAACCAAGAATAAAAAGATCTGTGCGTTACTGATAGCAGCCCCACATTATTACTTGGTCACTCCTCTCCAGCCATATGTAGATGGTTTGCTAAGATTTGGGATTTTATGGATATGGAAAAATGGACCATGCTGAAGAAAGGTTCTTTTACCATATGCTTTAAAATCTGTACCCCACTTATGCTGTGAAGAGGAACTAGATTCTATAATAACACCTCAGCCATTTTCTTCATAAATTTACCAATAATAGTATATAGGCAAAAATAGGACCTTGTAGGCCAAATTCTTCCCTGGGACACCACATACATTTCCCATGTCAGAACTGGGGTCTGCTTGCTTTATATACCATGCTCAATTTTTACATCCTGAAATGGGGAAAGTGTTATGCACTCAACTAGAAACTGATTTTGTCAAGGCTCTTGTTAGTGTCTTTGTAGATATACAATACATGTACAATAAATGTTGTCCTCTACCATTTTCCCCTACTTTCTGCTTTCATATTTTACCTTTGTAACTGCATTTTGTGACAGTTTGTATAAAAGAAACTATACAAAAGTCATATTATAGTCAAGTATCACATGGAACCTACAAAAATAATTTGTATTAAATGAGGCTTTAGCTCATACCAAAGTGATTTTGACTTTTGGGCTTGGTGCAGTACAGATATTGCAAATAGTCTTGTTGCTTATTGAAAAGGCAATTTTCTCACTGGATTCTATGCAGTAAACCATTCTCTGTATACAGAAACTCAGTGTAAACTTGTCAATCTACGGATATTACTCCCCAAACTTTGTGAGTGTAAAGGCAGCTTTAAAAGAAGTGGTCACACCTTGTCTGAAAATGCTACCTATTTTTACAAGTAACACCTAAGTTCACTGTAAATGAAATATTTTCTCTGTAATTTCTCTGTTTGTTTACTTTGTACATTTGGCAGCTCTTTGTGTTTAATCAGTTCCACTGTTTGCCAATTCAGAGTCAGTTTCCCTATTTGTGTGGGTCTTCCACATGTAATGGGAAAGAAAAGCATTTTAAGAAAGATGCGCAAGTAAAACCAAAAAAAAGGACTGGAGAACTTAAAGGCAGATATAGAACCTGAAACTGAAGGTAAGTCATTTTTTAAGAATGCCCAGATTTCAACCTGACATTTTTTCTTTTTAATTTTTGAATAAAATAAAGTAAGTAAAAAGATATTTAACTATGTTGTTGATCTAGTGGCTTTTGAGGTACCATATTCCATCCTAATAGGAATGGTTGGTAGTCTCTCAGTTTGAAAAGTGCACACAGAAATGGATACGAGAAATCCTCAAGACAGACTACTCCTCAACCCTGCACCATGGCTACTTGGATTTGGTACAATCCAAGACTGCATGCACCTGAAAGAAGAAAAATTGGTTAAACTGGTTCTTTGTTGTATGATAGGACAGTGTCAAATCCTCTACCTCCCCCATAATGGAGATGAAGAGGAGAAATCCCATCTCAAGAATGAACTAGGTAAGACTTATTTTGTTTAAGAACAGAAAGCTTGATAAATACCATGTCTTTAGGGTTCTGGAAGTCTCTTATTTCCAATTGCAAAACAATATCCTACCACTGACTTCAGCTACACGTAGAGCTGCAACCAGAAGTCATAGATCTCCCTTTCACAAGATCCCTTTTAGTTATCATTTTAAGTAACTAGCGCATTTATCACATTTGTAATCTTTGTCTGTCTCAATTTCTGCTTTCACGTGAGGGTAGCAACTGTCCCTAGAGGAGATTACATTTTCTGGTTTATGAAGTGGAAGATCCACTGGTATGTCAACTGCTGCAGGGACCTCACCCACAGAAATAAAATTTTTATTAAAGCTAATGTTAAAAAAATTATATAATACATAGATTGAGAAAAGAGTGTCTGTACATCTGCGTATAGTGCTTAGATTATTCACAGATACAAAGTTTGTTTTTAACGTCATACGATACATAGAGTAGATAATTAGCAATAACCCATATTTAGGTGAATAGATTTAACAACACAGTTTAGATATTAGAATCTGAATATTTGGGGTGGAGAATATGGACACACAGGATTTACTGCAAGCTTAAGCCAAATGACTCTGTAAACTTTCATTCCATTATCCCAAGTACATGACTTTGGTCAATGGACCCGTCTTTGACTGCAGTTTTCCTTCCCTTTCTTTTTCAAACATCCATTATTTTAGGTAAAAAACCTGTAAAGAATGACAATGGCAATGTACTTTCCAATATGGAGGTTTTATTTTTTGTATATTCAAGTTACATTATTTTGGAGTAAAATTCAAAGTTAAGAACAAAAAATCCAACTTTTTGCCTCATTTGCCCAGACTTACGTTGGGTATGCAGCTCTGTGATAGCTTGGGGTGACTGGTCTCTGGAGAGGCTCATCTATGCTCTGATGGACACCAGGAAACAGCTTCTTCTTCACTTTTGGTGTATGGGTCATTATCTAATACACAGAAGGAGAAAGAGGAGGAAAGAGAGGGGAAACTGAAGTCATTGGAACAGAGATATGAAGACTATCTGAGCATCAACCTAGATTTGTATCCTAATGTTACTGAACAGGATTTGCCATGCTTTACCGCATGTCTACACTACAGCTCTTTCTGTTCCGAGCCGGCTCAGTAAGGATGCCAGTTTGCCTTTCCCAAGCCCATCTTATTTCTGCTGGATAGAAGTTCCTCAACAGATAGTAAGGGATTGGGGCTGAGTAGGTAGGTAAAGAGTTGAGTCTCAGCCAGCCTTATATGTAGCACACAGAAAAAGACAGCTGTTATAATTAAACCTCTGGGTGTTATATGTCGATTGAAATGTTGAAATTAAATACCTAGCCAAACAAATTCAGTATTTTAGAATCCCAACGAGTGGTACTTACTCCCAAATACTCTGTTGTCAGCAGCTTCTCTCCTGATAGCTCTCCCAGCTGAGGTTGTAACACCTCATCTTTGTCCAGATCAGCCTCCATTGTATGACGGTCCTCCTGTTACAATAATATACCTCGATTATTTGAACACAGACCCTTGGGCAGCTTTCAGTTCCAGTCTAAGCATTTAATTTTCATTCCGGCAGTCACTTGTGCAATACGCATTTAAAACATAAATGACTCTTGCTACTAGGGCTGCACATGTGAACTAATGTTTGTGTGAATTTTTATGTGTGTGTGTGCACATGCGTGTACATACACCCTTGTCCAAGCATTTGATTCAATCAGAAATAAATACAAATAATTCCTCCCAGTAGCTGCATAACCTTAGCAAGGCTGAAGGAAAAATATTATAGCCCTGACGGGCTGGTTGCCTTGAAATCTCAAATCCCCAAGTATTCTATGCAGGCTCAATAATAAAGAACATGGTGTTAATATTCATTACTTTCTAACGAGAATAGTTCCACTCCATCCTCCAAAGAACATGACAGATGAGCACCACACTAGAACTAAAGGAAAGGCAGTTTTGCTTTTTAAAAAGGTTGCAACAATAAAACATTGTACGGAAAAGTAAATTAATCATTCTAGGAGAGGTTACTTACTTTCTATCCTAACTGCAGTTCTTCAAGGATGTGTCCCCCTATTGGTGCTCCACATTAGATGTGCATGTGCCCCATGTGTCTTTGATCAAATATTTTTGGTAGCAGTGCCTATTCAGCCTGCACGCACACACCAGACCTCCTTCTGTCCCGTACTGAGGATATATAGAGCTGTACAGGCAAAACACCCTCGGTTCCTTCTCCATTGCTAAGAGCCGTGAGACGAGACTCAGAAACAGAAAGGAAGGAGGGCATCTAGTGGAACACCCATAGGGGAACACATCTCAAAGAACTACAGTTACTGTACAAGGTAGGTAACCTCTCCTTCTTCTTTGAGTAGTGTCTCTATGGGTGCTCCACTTCAGGTGACTCCTGAGCAGTACTCCTGGAAGGAGAACAGAGCTTCAGAGTTGTATCTAAGACTGAAGATAGGACTGCCATGCCAACAGCAGCATCTGACTTGGAAGTGTGCATCAGGGCACAGTGTTTGGAAAACATATGAACTGATGCCCAAGTTGAGGATTTGCAAATTTCTGCAGTTTTCTGCAGTGCCATGGATGTACATTGGGATCTTGTAAAATGGGTTATTATTCTAGAAAGAGGCTGATCATTAGCAACCTCATAACAAGAAAGAATACTTGTTTGTCTGTAGGCAGTACAGTAGCTGGAGTCTGCCAGATGATCTTGGCAGGTTCAATTAGAGCCTTATTCACCGGCAAGAGCACTTGACCAGAAGTTGTCACGTGCAGAATGTCTAAAAGCTTATGCTGCAACTCTTGAACCGCCTCCAAGGGGATCTGGAGAGTGTTAGCAATCTGTTTCATAAGTTCTTGAAACTGTTTAAAATCATCAGCATAAGAAGGTGGGGAAGGCATTACAGCCTCATCTGGTAAAGATGAGGAGATACTGGTTTGTGGTGTCACTTCCTTGCCTCTTGCTCCTTGAAAGCAGGCCGAGGTCTCTGTATACCAAACCCCAAACCTTGTTTAGTATTTTTAATGTTGGGCAATGACAGGGTCATGTTAATACCTTTGAGGTTTTGGGTCCATATCTGCCATCTAAATTAATACAACAGATATCCCTGCCCAGAAATCTGGGAATCTGAGGAGATGTCTTCAGCATAGTCCAAGGGAGGAGCAGACTGAAGGCGGAAACAATGTTTATCTGCCTCATCCTGAAGGTACCGGAAGACTAGGGGATACTGAGGAAGGGGAAGGTCTCCGTGACCTAGAAGATCGCAGTATTGACAGTCCTTTGGTATCCATTAAGAAAGGAGACTGTGGCTTATCTGAGACAGACAAATCTGTAGAGAATCTAAATTCCTGCCATACCAGGTGATTGTGTGCTGAAACTGAATGAGGTTCTGCAACAGTCAGCAGCGGTACCAAGGATACTGTTTGCTTCACCGATATTTGTCTAGCAGACAGAGATGATACAGAGGATGGTGCTAGCTTTGGAGGAACCAATTAATAATCTGAGACACCTGCTTATGTACTAGCCATAGCACAGAGAGCTCTGTAAACAGTACCAGCTTCCTTGACGCAAAGTGTTTACTTACTCTCTGTGGTGCAATCTGCTTAGACTGTACTGGAGATGGGTTTGGTACCAAGGCATGCTTGGTACTGTGATTCTTGAAAGAGCCCGAAGTCTTTGACTAAGACTCCAGGTATTGGAGAAGCCTGGAGCCTCAGCAGTACCCTTTCTGGAACACGGGGTCTCTGAAACAGTCTATTTCTACAGTGACTGAGGTCGATGGGGTACCGTGGTCACTCAGCAGCTGATGTACAAGGCAGGCATCTGGGCCTGAATCCAAGGCTGGTCACAAGGAGGGCTCCATCATGAGAAGCCTAAGTTTAACCTCCCTATTTTTCCTAGATCTACTCCTGAAGGCCAAGCAGATCTTGCACTTACACAGTATGTGCGTGTCTCCAAGACACGCTGGCAATGGACATTGCTGACTGGCATAGATTAACGGCAGGTGAAGCAGTGCTTGAATTCCAGGGATCCCAGAACACCATGCAGACGACAATCCCGGAGGGAGAACCCCTGGGATGGGGGTGGGAGAGGAAGGGATGTCTAACGGAAACAAACTCTTAGTTAACTAGAAGAACTACAAAACTATACACCCAAAAGGAGCAAACTGAAGTAGACTTAGAACCCAAATGAGCTAAAAGCTAAAGGTTAAGCTTGAAGCGGGAACCTATAAACTCCATCTCAGGCCACAGGGCAGTTGAGAAGGAACTGAGGGCAGTTCACCTGTACAGATCCATATCTCCTCAGTACAGAGCACAAGAAGGTCTGGAGCACATGTGTGGAACAAACAGACCCTGCTACCAAAAACCTACAATCAGAGGTACATGTGCTTCTGAAGTGGAGTGCCCACAGGGACACTACTTGAAGAAGAACTAGCTACTGTTATGAAACATAAAAAGCCTGATCCAAAACCCATTAAAGTCAATGGTGACTATCTATTGACTACAGTGGGCTTTGGATCATTCCCAAAGAGCATAAAAGGAGAAAAAGGACAGGACAAGCACCTTTACATGAGCATGACATAAAGTGAGGGAGTAGGCTTCAGTCAAGCTGGGAAATAACTGTCATGGGATGGCCCCAACAAGAGCACCCTCCTGGGTAGGCTGTGGCGCAGCAGACATGTCTGCCTCAGTTTTCCCTTTCAGGGGCCCCAGAAATAGTCCGAATGGTCTTCCTGAGTATAAAATATAACCCTTGGGGAATTTATTTTAGAAGTCCAATGCACATAAGCCATAACAAAATAAGTCCCAATACCAAGCCCCGCAATCATAGTCCAGACAGTACATCAAGCAGAACCCCGGCGTCCCTCATCACACCCCAGCTCTCCAGCCTTCTTCCTTCTCTGGCCCTCTGGCTTCAGCTCTCCAGCTCCAAGAGCCAGGAGGCACCTCCCGCTGCTGCTGTCAGCCTTCAGCCCTCTCCAGCCTTCTTTTCCTCTGCCTCAGGAAGGACAGCTGGCTACCCCCCTCCCCTGACTTCCTAGCCCTCAGTTCTTTTCAGCCTCCCAGCATCAGCTTTGACTCTTGAAAGTCAGCAGGCTAGCCTCTCCACTGACTACCTGGTAATTCCTCCCTCTTTCCAGGGAAGGCCTGCAGACTTAACTCACCAGGTTGTTCTCTCACTGGGTCTCTCTCCTCTCCGATTCTCCCTGGTCCTTTATAGCCTCCAACAGATACTACCATCCCCCTTAAAAGGCCAAATGGGAACAACTGCTCTGGCACAGGGGAGCTGGACCTACTTCATTTAATGGGTCAGCCACCTTATGACACTTGGCGACAAAAATCATCCAAATGTCAGATGCTTATGCAATCTCAAAACAGGTTCAGAAAGAATATGCTTTATAAGTGTGCGTATGGGAGAGATTTCATGTGGCACATGTTGGCTACAGATACCACCACCACCCTCAGTAGGCCTTGACTTAATGGAGCTTCGCGGATTCACAACAGCTAAGGATCTGACCCTATATTTTTCTGCTTGCACCTTTATCTATTTAGCACTTATTTAATATTTTAAACAAAACCATAATCTTTGCTCTGATATGGCTATTTTGTTTCTTACTAGCCCTGCTACCATGGGCATCAGGAGCATGTGAACATACTTATGTTACAGGCGTTAGGTTATAGACATATTGCTTATATGCCACAAAAATATTCTATGGTTTAAAGGAAAAGCCTTGGAATGAATTATTGTTTCATGCAGGGAATTAAGAAAGCACCTGTTAACTTAATCATCTGGGATGAATTCCAGTTTGCAATCACTAAAAAGGAAGTGGGTTTAGTCTTTACTCATTTTACTTTCTTAATTATATTTCCCCAAAATAATTCCAAAAAAGACCAACACAGTCATTTTTCTCAACAAATTGGAGACATCATTCTTCCTACCCCTTTCTAAAATGGTTGCATGGCACTTCTAGTATAGAATGGCTGCTGTATTATAAGAACTACATATCAGTGGTAGGCGTGAAAAGCTCAAAAGGCTTACCTCTCTCACCAACAGAAATTGGTAAAATAAAAGACAGTACCTCACCCACCCTGTCTCTGTAATACCCTGGGACCAACAAGGTTACAACAACACTGCATATATTAATTTTAATGAAAGATACAGTACATGTCTAAAACCCCTAAACTGCATTGAAAATATCAACCATAGTCTATAAAGCAATTTTGCAATTATTCTGGATGAAAGCAGCAAGAAAAATGTACCATCAGTGGCTTTCCTGTTATTTATCTTCTTTAGTATGCTTACAACGTAACAGCTAGACACATGCCAGGAGTTAAACTGGATGATCATAACATCCTTTTTTACTTTTTCCATTGGCCTGACAACAGTTTCACTTCTAAAAAGCTTTAAAGCTCTTCACAGATTGGCTCTCTTCATCGTGTTATCTATCTTAACTAGATATCTAAGGTCCTCCAGTTGAGGCTT